GTATTCAACTTCCACATCGTTTCTTGCAACACACTCCCTTATATAGTGGTAGCGAATGTCGATGTGCTTGCTTCGATCATGGAATACTGGATTCTTTGCTAAGGCAATGGCTGACTTGTTGTCCACACAAACCTTGGTAGGCTCTTTTTGTATCAAACCTATCTCCTTCAATAGATTTCTAAGCCAAATTGCATGACAAACACATGAGGTAGCAGCAACATATTCCTCTTCACAAGTGGACAATGTGACAATCGGTTGTTTCTTTGACATCCATGTGAAAGCAATATCTCCCATGAAAAATACGAATATAGTAGTGCTCCTTTGATTATCTATGTCTCCACCCCAATCACTGTCGCTATATCCAACAAGCTTGTAATCATTAGAAACTGAATAGAACAAGCCGAAGTCAATTGTACCTTTCAGATAGCGAAAAATTCTCTTTGCATCTTTAAAATTGGTGGTTGTTGGAGATTCCATGTAGCGACTGACCAATCCAACTGCGTGAAGAATATCGGGCCTCGTGCAAGTTAGATAGCGTAGACTTCCCACCAAACTTTTGAAGAATGTTGGATCTACACTTTCGCATTCTTCATATTTGGACATCTTGATCCCGTATTCTGTTGGTGTGCTTATTTGCTTACAGTTCTCCATCTTGAACTTCTTCAGTATCTCCTTTGCATAGCTTTCATGTGAAATAAAAATTCCATCCTTTTGTTGCTTAACTTCAATGCCAAGGTAGTACGCCATGAGTCCCATGTCTTTCATCTCGAATTCCTTCATCATCATATCCTTGAATTCTTTAAACGTATTTGGGTTGCTTCCGGTGAAGATCAAATCATCCACGTAGAGACACACGATCAAAATATCTCCATCTTTGATCTTGATATATAGAGCTTGCTCGTAGGGACATTTATTGAAGCCATTCTCTTGGAAGTACTTGTCGATTCGACTATTCCATGCTCTTGGTGCTTATTTTAGCCCGTAAAGAGCCTTCTTCAACTTCAACACCTTGTCTTCGTGCCCTTTGACTTCGTAGCCTGATGGTTGCTGAATGTAAACTTCCTCTTCAAGAACTCCATTTAAGAAGGAAAACTTTGCATCCATCTGCTGTATCTTCCACTTGTTTTGAGCTACCAAAGAAATGATTAGTCTGATAGTCTCCAATCGAGCAACAGGAGCAAATACCTCATCATAGTCAATTCCAACATTTTGACTATAGCCTTTAGCAACTAGCCTCGCCTTGTGCCTTTCAATCTCTCCTTTGGCATTTTGCTTTGTTTTGTACACCCATTTGACACCTATCGCCTTATATCCTTTGGGAAGTGAGGTAAGTTCCCATGTGTCATTCTTCTCGATGGCCTTGATTTCTTCGTCCATCGCATCTCTCCATTTTTTTTCTTGTATCGCTTCTTGAAAGCTCACTGGTTCACAATCGGCAAACAGACAAAATAATGTAAGATTATCTTGTCGTTCAGTTACCTCATAGAGATCTCTAAGGCTTCTTGTGCGTTGCACAACTCTTTCACTTTGACTCCCACTTGACGATGACGAAGGTGATGAGTCTCCTTGAGTGGTTGATGTTAGTGAAGTGGGTGGAGTTGCAAGCTCTTGTTGAGATTCATCTAGTTGTTCCCTCATTGTCTGCTCATATTCTTCAAACTGAGGAAAATAATTGAAGTCATTTTTATGAGAGTTAAAATCCCATTCTCCTTCTTCGTTGAAGACCACATCTCGACTAATCACAAACTTCTTATTGTCTGGATTGTACAACTTGTAGCCCTTTGAATTAGCATCATAGCCGATGAAGATAAAACTCTCGCTTTTATCATCAAGCTTCGTTCTTCTCTTGTCTGGTACGTGAACATGGGCTATACTTCCAAAGGTTCTCAAGTGGGAAATGTCAGACTTTCTTTTACTCCATGCTTCTTGCGGTATCTTTCCCCATACACTTATTGTTGGAGATCGGTTTGTCAAGTAGACTGCACACGCTACTGCTTCCGCCCAAAATTCCTTGGGTAGTTTCTTGCTTTTGAGCATGCTTCGTGTCATGTCGAGGATTATTCTGTTCTTTCTTTCTGCCACACCATTTTGCTGGGGGGATCTAGGAACTGTCGTTGGTCGATGAATTCCATTTGCTTCACAGAACTCTTGAAACTCCCTGGAAGTAAATTCTCCACCTCGATCGGATCTCATGGCTTTGATCTTTCTACCGCTTTCTCTCTCTACTGCTGCTTTGAACTTCTTGAAGACTTCAAAAACTTCTGACTTCTGTTTCAAGAAATATACCCAGGTTTTTCTTGAAAAATCATCAATGAAGAGAAGAAAATAGTTACTGTTACCGAGAGAGCTTGGCTTGATCGGTCCACACACATCGGTATGGATGAGCTCAAGTGGCTTCTCGGCTCTTGTCTCTGACTCCTTTGGAAAGCTTTTCCTGAATTGTTTCCCGACTAGACACCCTTCACAAAGCTGGTCATGATGGTTGATGCGTGGTAATCCCTTCACCATCTCCTTCTTAGATAACAGCTCTAGACCTCCAAAATTGAGATGCCCAAATCGAAGATGTCAAAGCCATTATGCATCTTTGTAGCAAGCTTTCAGGCACTTTGTAACATCATTTTGTATGTTGATCAAGAACATTCTATTCTTTGACATCGACACTTTAGCAATGAAGTAATTCTTATCATCTTTTATAGAAATATTATAATTATTCATATGAATATCATAACCTTTCTCTACCAGTTGCCCTAAACTTAAGATGTTACTTTTCATATTGGGCACATAGTAGACATTTAAAATAAATTGATGTCTTCTTTCTTTCAAACGGATAAGAATGTTACCTCTCCCTTTCACTGCTATTGTGGAATCATCTCCAAACGAAACATTTCCGCTTACTGACTCGTCTAGCTCTACGAACATGTTTTTCCTTCCACACATGTAATTGCTTGCACCATTGTCAAGATACCAGGAATTTGCTTGGCCACCATCAGTTTCCTTTCGTGCTAGAAGAAGAGTTTCTTTGCCATCTGTCTTTTCCTCCACGTAGTTGGCCTTCTCCTCAATTTTATTGTTGGGAGCTCTACATTCTGAAGCATAATGCCCAAACTTCTAACAATTATAACATCGAACTTGAGATTTGTCATGCCTTGAGTTCGGATTGATTCTTCCACGGCCTCGTGTTGAGCTTTCTCCTTTCTCATAGTTGTTGTTGGAATTGTTATTGTTGGAATTCCAGCCTCGTCCACGACCTCGACTTTCACCTCGTCCATAACCTCTACCTCTGCTTTGGCCATGTTGGTTTCTATCATTGCGTTGGCTTTCATGCATATCCTTGAGTTGCAACTTGAGGAGTTGCTTAATAAACTCATGCTTCTTCTTATGCTTTTCTTCGTATGCTTGCAATGATCCTTGGAGTTGTTCGATCGTCATTTCTTCCAAGTCTTTAGTTTCTTCAATCGTCACGACGATGAGCTCAAATTTGGGATCCAACGAACGGAGTATCTTCTCTATTATCCTCACATCTTCTAACTTTTCACAATTTCTTTTTAATTGATTAGAAACAACTACTACTCTTGAGAAATAATCTGAAATAGACTCATATGCTTTCATATGTAAGGATTCAAATTCACCTCTTAATGTTTGGAGACGAACCTTCTTCACTTGCTCGGATCCTTTGTAAGAGGTTTGCAGCTTCTCCCACGCTTCCTTGCTAGAGCTTGCACTTGAAATCTTTTCAAAACCATCATCAACTATGCTTGATAGATGAGGTAGAGAGCCTTCTTGTCTCTCTTTCTTGAATCCTTCAAAGTTGTCTTTTGATCTGGTGTAAGAGTAGCAAAAGCATCATCATCCGCATGCTCATTATAGCCTTTCTCTGTGATATCCCATACATCTTGTGATCCAAGAAGTGCCTTCATTTTGATACTCCAATTGTCGTAGTTATTGTTGTTGAGTGTCGGAACTTGGAATAGTGCCATCCATTTGCCATATCTCTCAATATAATGAGAATTTGCAAAATCAGATTGCACGGATGAATCCGGAACGTCAAAAAAACCTTGGGAGGGACTTGGACAACTCGATAAAGGGGCTCCAACTCGGTGAGTCAAACTCGATTTTCTGGCAGCAGTCTTCCGACGGTGCGTGGCGGTGCGTCAGAACTTAGATTGAAAAAATTCTGGCGGCGTCGAATTCCTCTCGTCGAGACCTTCGATCTTTCTAACTCGCTCTGATGCCACTTTGTTGGAAATAAAACACTCACACAAACAACTTTTATTGAAACTCAAAGAAATATTACAAGAGCACTTTCACTCAAAAACAAGAACTACAACTCACTCCTATAAGACTTTGCTTCTTCACTCACTTAGAAGCTCTTAATTTTTCTTGATGCTTAAACTATAATGGGAAGGGGTATTTATACTACTTAAGAATAATCCTACACCACACAAATAAACTAATTTAAACTATTACAAATTCAACAAATACCTAACTCTCACCTAACTAAATTGATGTAAGCAATGTCATCATTACTTAAATGATGTAAGCAATGACATCTTTACTTAAATAATGTAAGCATGACATCAATTTAGTTGAGTTTGGGTTTAGGCTCCCATAATGGATCAAGTTTATGATCCAACAAGTCCATACATAATAATATATAGATATAAAAATCCAGATCAGAAAAAGGAAGAAAAAATTACTAATATTAAGAATCAAACATTATCGATCTCTCCTGGATTTAGGATTTGACACGTATGTTTCCTGTGAGATTATTTTACAAATATATAAGAATCAATCTTGTACGCTGTCGTCTGCTAGATTCGGTGACAGTCATTATGTAAGAACTAGGTTTCGATTCTCCTGTCTGCGTTCAGATATAATGCTCAAATGCAGATTTTGTCGCGTTACTGCCTTGTGGGTGCCATTGTATTTTCTGATAAGTATTTACTTTAAATTTGATATTAGTGTGAATTAAAAACTTAATTATTATTATTAAACCCAAAGGTATTCTTATTTCTCAATGCTAATAAAGTTCACTTTGAGCTCCATTGCTAACAATTAAAGCAAAAACAGACAGAAGATTAAAACCATGACCTTATTTCTATCCATTATGCAGCACTGTTTTGCACTGTCCAATTAAGCAAAATCTCCAATGGTTGGTTTGGGAGTCCGTTGTTTACCATAAGCGATTGGATATAACTCATTTCAGTGCAATTTTGTCTTGTTAATCCTAGCTCGGGAAATCTCTGCTCCATTAATGGAAGAAGCTCGTTAATTGTGCCGAGAAACAATGAACTAAAGATCGCTAGAACTGTTTTCCTCCCGTCTTGAGTTGAATTAATGCCTCTCAGTATAACGGTTGAGTACACTTCATCGGGAAGATCACGAGCGATGTATTGCCATCGATGGACGACTTCGGTCGCGTTTTGTTCGAGGACCCGGGTGACGGAAAACACTGTCACGTTTGCCGGAACGGGAACCAGACTTAGTTTCCAGGAAAGGACAATCCCGAAGCTACCGCCGCCGCCGCCTCGAATAGCCCAAAACAAATCTTCCCCCATGGATTTTCTATCGAGAACCCTTCCGTTTACGTCGATGAATTGAGCATCTAGCACATTGTCAGCGGCAAGGCCGTATTTTCTGAGCAGTAACCCGAAACCTCCGCCGCTAATATGGCCACCGACGCCGATTGTATGGAAAACGGCAGCTGGGAAGGCAAGTTTAGTACTTTTTTCTGCAATTCTATAATAAAGTTCACCGAGCGACGCACCGGATTGAACCCATGCAATTCTATTTTCAACGTCAACATCCACCGATCGGAAGTGAACCAAGTCGATGATAATGAAAGGGACTTTGGCGATAGACGAGAGACCCTCGTAATCATGGCCACCACTTCTGGTTCTTGTTTGTAGCCCATGTTTTCTGGAACAATGAATGGTTGCTTGAATATGGGATATCTGCGTTGGTGTTACAATGACCAAAGGTTTCGGGGTATTGGTTGAGTTGAACCTAAGATTCCATAACGTAGAATCCAAAACAGATCCATACGAAGAATTTGTTCGTGTGAAAATTAGTTTGGAAATTGAAGAATCATTTGAACGAAGGGAAAGACACTGGAGAAAACTTTGATGAGGCAAAGTTGCCCATGAAAACGAGAAGAAAGCAGTCAAAACAAGAGTGAATAACATTGAAAACTGTGGGGACTTCATTTCTTAAGCTTACTTTTTCTTCCTGTGTGTACAAATGAAACGAGAAAGCTCCATATTTATAGCATCGTTTAGCAGAAACTGGATACTTAACGCGCCTCATGTGTATTTTTTATATATGATTTTGAACCATTCATACTTGACCATCAATTAAATTCAACCTTGACTATGAAGTTTTCAGATTTATTCATTGAAAATTTTGTTCTTTCTTTTTCCCAAGAAATGGAAGGTTTGGATGTCGAAATCAACTGTAGTATTATTTTGGTTCAGTTCACAACTAAAATACGAAGATTCAAATTCACAATTTATGTTACGTAAGTGATAATTATAAAAATTTCACCTTTTGTTTCTTATATTTGCACTCTTCAGTCCGGCAATGAGAATATAATATCATATGTTACGGGGTATGATTGCATCATGCATGGGTTTCATTATAAATTAGTTGACCCTATTCCCATATGTAATGAGGTGAGGGGAGAGGTAAGGTAGTAGGTTGCCCCCAACGCTAGGTAGAGAATAGCTTCCGTGGAAGATCTCGGACAGTCAGAATTATGAATTGTTTACCGTGAGACTCGATCCCACGACCACATTACATGGGTTTCACTATGTTGGCAAAAAGAAAAGAAAAACTGATTAAACTGTTAAAAAATAACAAAATTTTGAATGAAGTCAATAAATGCATATTTTATGGTTTTAAGGAAAAATGATGATCTACCTCCAAAATCATGAACCTTGACACTAATTATTAATTTATATAGTATATTTTTATCAATTTATTAAATATTACAAATTTTGAAGTAAGTTATGTTTTCTGGTTCAGTCTTACCAAACATACGAAAATTTTTAAGTATAGCAGTCTTCTTTGACTTATTAAAATCTTGGACCGATAAGATAATAATAAAAATGATTATTCGTGGCATATCTATTATTTATATTTGAAGTCCCTGATAAGATAATACATTATTTTTCAGTGTAGTGATTTGTTTTCTGAACTCATGTTTAAATTGAATACTAGTAATAAATTTGGACCAAGATGATAATATATCCACTGACAAGGATTATTTTGTGTGAGATTGACTGGGTAGTTGCAATTGAATTGACTAAACAAGTTTATTGTGGTATAACTCTGGATCAAGAAGATAGTTGACTATACATGGCCGGCCCGACTATTTCAATGGATCATATTTACTGTTTGAAAATAATAGTAATTAATATTTTGAATTTCCTACCTCACTTTCCTTCAAATTTTCACCAATGCCAAGTGTTTAAATTTTGAATAAATAGAACATTGATTCGAAAAACTTTATCTTTATTGTACTGAAGAAACTAATAATACTGCCGATGAAATTTCTTCTCCTACACTAGATTGAAGGTATGCTCTGTTGATGCTTGAAGAAATTTTCAGGATCAACCAACGACTTCACCTTCACTAATTTCTCAAAGTTTTTCTTAAAATATTTAAAACCCCAAGTGCTCGCTTGATCGTAACTTGTCTTGTGTTCATCGTTAACTCCGATGTCTAAGTCCCTGTAATTAATGTAAGCTTCTCGTGGAGACTTCGAAACATAAGGAGTCATATAACGATAAAATCTTCGGATCCAATTTATATACTTTCGGATATCCAAAATCTCTTCCACTTCACCCGTAGCATACATGACGTTGTAAAGGTTGCCAGCTCTATGAGGAAATGGAGTTTCAGTTTCCGAGATTTCATCCATTCTTCCACCGTATGGGACCAAGTTGATCGACGCATTTCTTCCTTCTTCTTCCTCGAACCACCGCCCCATTCCCTTGAATACAAATTCTGGGATCGGTTGTTTTACGTAGTCAGACTTCACTTTAAAATACGATTTGCTGATGCATTTCTATCCAGCAAAATCTCTGTGGGTTCTACTGGGAATTGAGCCCAGTAAACAACAGACTGAATCCAACTCATTTCCGTGCAGTCTTGTTTCACTAATCCAAGCTCGGGAAACCTTTCTGCCATCAATGAAACGAGATTATCAACCCTCCCCAGAAACAAAGCTCTAAATGTAGCTTGAACTGATCCATTTCCAGCACCAGATATGGTGAGGAGAAAGAATAAATCTTCGGGAAGATTGGGTGCAACGAATTGCCATTGATGGATGATTTTGGTTGCATATTGTTGTGAGGTTTTCGTGAGAGTGAAAACAGTCACGGTTGATGGAACAGGAACTAACTTTATTTTCCAGTCAAGAACAATCCCGAAGTTACCTCCACCGCCACCTCGGATCGCCCAAAACAGATCTTCCCCCATCGATTTTCTATCGAGGATTTCGCCATTAGCATCGATAAGTCGAGCATCAATGATGTTATCGGCGGCGAGACCGTATTTTCGAGACAAAGGGCCATGCCCTCCTCCAGTAAAGTAGCCACCAACGCCGACGGTATGGCAAGTACCAGTTGGGAAGCCGAGGGTTCTACTTTTTTCAGCAATCCTGTACTGGAGTTCACCTATGGTTGCACCGGCTTCTACCCATGCACTGCCATTCTCGACGTCGACGTCAACCGTACGAAGATTAACCAAATCGACCACAACAAACGGGACGTCGGAAACGTATGAAAGACCTTCCATGTCGTGACCGCCGCTTCGAGTTCGAATCTGCAAACCGTGTTGCTTCGAACAACGGATAGTTGCTTGGATATGGGATGCATGCGAAGGTGTGACGATGACTAAAGGCTTCGCGGTAGCGTTTGTGGCGAACCTAAGGTTTTGAATGGAAGATTCCAATATGGATGAATATGTATCATGGCGTTGTGTGTAAATGAGGTTAGTGATAGGAGATGAATCGTTCGAGTGAAGAGAAAGACATTGAAGAAATTTCTCATGCGACTGAGCTTCGGTCGCCCATGAAAATGAGATCAAGAGGATGGGAAAAACAAAGACGATCGATGAGCAATAAGGAGATTTCATTTTGTTAGAACTTGTGAGTTGTGAAAAATGAAGTAGAGTTACCATATATATAGTAGTACATAGAATGAAAAGTTGGACCTACCTAAAACTTTTAATTTGTTCTAGATTACGTGAATATTTTAAAAACTAACATTAGGGCACGGTTGCAAATATAAATAACGACCATGCACGACCAAACTATCGATTTAAGGGATGATTATTGTTTTTATAGGTCCCAAATTCAAGTATCAAGATTATAAGGACATTTGAGTTTTCATTATCAATTGATTAAGAATATTTAAAATATATATTACCTTATCATCACCTAAATTAATAAAAAAACGACCATAATAATATTGACATTCAAATAATAATCAATATAAAATTATACTTATATATAAAAATCACAAATACGGGATTTTAATATTTTTAATAACTCAATCAAATATTTAAGTTGATATACTTTCTATTTTTATTTTAAATTGGCGTGGTTCTTGAATTTATTAAGTAACCTTAGTTGACAATTTCCTTTTAACATTTGAGTTCGAACAAATGCATCTGCCTAATGTGTGTGCTTTATCAATGATTAATATCAATTTTTAACAAATACTATTTTAAAATCACCCTATACTATTAAAATAAGAGAAAATAACCTCAGTGACCGAAAATTCCTTATAATATATGATTTTGACCAACTTTTTTTCGATTTGCCAAAATGACCAACAAAATCGCAATGCGATCTCTAAATCGCAACGCGATCTCCAGTATCGCAACGCGATTTTGACTATCGCAACGCGATTCTGACTATTGCAACGCGATAATACAAAATCGCAATGCGATTTTCAAAGCGCCATTAGTATCGCAACGCGTATTTTATTTTCAAATTCCAAACACGAATATTAATACATCCAGTAATCGCAACTCTTAACCTAAAATCGTAAATCACAACTCAGACTCATCTCCATTCTCACTCTCTAAGGCGACATCCGTCCCCATCTCCGACGAAATCCGTCCCTATCTCCGGCGAAATATGTCTATCTCCATCTCTCAGAGCCACCCTCACAATCATTCACGATCAGAAATGGAAAATCAACCAAATCAACCATCAAGGGTTAGTTTTTTAATTATTTTTATTTTGAAAATTTTGCATTATTATTAGGTTTTTCATATTGAAATTGATGATAAGTTTACTGGTAATTTCAATAATAGATTAACCATTTCACTTAGATTGCTTATTAAATTCATTCGATTGCTGCCAATACTGCTAAACTGTTTAGTCTTTAACCTTGTAAAGTTAGTATTTGTCTTTGTTTTGTCTTTTGGTTGAAGTAATACAATTCATTCAAGTTTCAATTTTAGACAATGACTATTTGAAACCGAGGATCGCAACGCGAAATGAAAATCGCAACGATAGTCAAATTCGTGTTGCGATAGTCATTTTCGTGTTGCGATTTTCATTTCGCGTTGCGATTATCTCGTTGCGATAGTCAAATTCGCGTTGCGATAGTCATTTCGTGTTGCGATTTTAAGTTTCAGAAACTATTATACTTCTGCAAATTGAAACTTGAATGAATTGCATTACTTCAACCAAAAAACAAAGACAAATACGAAATTCACAGTGTTGCAAATTTAAGTTTGAAGAATAAACTACTACTACTCTTTATTGTTTTTGGTATATCTTTACAGTGTAGTTTTTAATCTAACTTGGTATGTTTATTGTTTTTGTAGAACTTTTTTTCGGCTCAATTGACCTTAAGGAATAAAATAAGCCTAGTCACTACAATTGCGTAGAAGCTTTCACCTTTACAAAGAACATTGTTTGAGGATACTTACTTCGGGCCATGGCTGAAAGTATAACATCCGGGTGGAGATGCTATGTTGACCCATTTGTGGCTTCAGACTATGACTAGCGATCTATCCGAGAGTATAAAATGTGGTAATGAAGAGATATTGTTTCATTTTCCACCGGCGTATACGTGTTTTGGGCGGGAGGAGTTTTGCTTAATCAATGGTCTACGCTTCGGACACGATGATGTAGGTCGATACACTAGTCATATTACCGGCCCATCATGGTTATCCTGGGTTTTTCCTGAGCTGTCAATG